GGTAACAGAGTAGAGGAAATGAAATAGTGTCACGTCTTAGAGGTGACATTCAACATGGAAACAGAAAAATTTACCCGTTCTCACTGCTTTATCTTCCATGTTCTTTTCCCATCAGTGAGAAAGTTGATCACATCATTCAGAGGGCCTTCCATCATACTAAAGGATTCATACTGGCAACTATAAGAGTCTGGGACTTCGTAAAAGGTGTTGATGCAGGCGGAAGTAAATTCCACAGGAAATCCACGCACTTCAACGATTCCGTCTTCAGAATAGATTACATTGACGTAGAACTCCTTCACAACATTTGCATCAGTTTTATTGGTTGTGTAACAAAAGTTTTCCCACCTCCGCTCGACAATAACTCGTTCAATCTCTCCTCCCGGACTTTCATAAACTCGATCTTGTATACACTTCTTTCCTTTAAATGTTGAAGTAAATTTTGTTTGAGCCATCGCATTGACGAAGCGAGACTCGTCAAACTCAACCCATCTCTTTTTTCGTGGGGTCATTTCAATCTTATCAAATTATAAAAAAATTCCAAAAATTACTTCAAATATGAAAATCATGGCTTCCAATAGTAATTTTAAGAGTTCAACACTAAGATCCATGAATTTTTTCCCAAACTTTCTTCACATTCTCAAATTTTTCAGATTTCCTCAACGTGGAAGAAATTTATGGTGAAAATCAAATATTTTTAGTTTGGAGTGAAGCTCTTACCTAGAGATGATCAAATCAGGTGTAAAAAAGCCTTGAAATCGCCTCCTAATCAAAGGTTAAGTTTGCAAATTGAATTCTACATTTATACCCTCCATGATATGTGTTGGAGACAAAAGCCATGGAGGCTAGAGAAAAAAGCCATGGAGGCTGTCAATTGTAGGATTTTACTAAGAATGGAGAGCAGAAGTGAACTTGGCCTGTGGTTTTGTTCTGTCCATAGTGGATAAGAGAGAGAGAGAGAGAGAGACGAGGAAGCTAAGCAATGTTGAGAGTCAAAATGCAACTTTCATTACAAGGCTGGCAGGCTGATTGATGCCTTTGATGCCTTTTTTTAGCAGCTGTTTAACGATGATCACAGTATTGGATTTGTGTTAAGCATTCCTTGAAGTACCGTAGCGGGCATTTACATGCATACCTCCCAAATCCCATGTATTTACATATCTAACACTTTAAACCTTACTTTTTTTACATTTATACCGCCCAAATCTTTCATATCACATCAAAAACACCAGCATTTATGAAATACACCTTTCTATGCATGAGTAAGGTGAGATGTAAAAAATTAAATTTATGTGCTAGATATGTAAATACATGGGAATTGAGTGGTATCTCTGTAAATCTTCCATTAAAACTACACAACCGTTGTTTGATACCACTATAAGCAAAGTAGAAGAAGCATAACTGGGGGAGTTTGATTGGTACAAATGACAGTAAATATCACAATATAGAAAGAGGCTGAAAAACAAAAATTAGCAGTAAATTACCATAATTTAGCAGAAGAGAAAGTAACTAAATCATACCATGATGAATTAGAAATAAATGATGCATTAGAAATGCTGTCATTATGGACCCTGGCGAAAGGGCAATGTTGAAATACAGGAATACATAAGCCAAAATTGCAGGAAGAATGGGCTGATTTCTATATTCCATCCAGCCATTTCTCATGGACTTCAATCCATTTTCCCCGGAAAACACAATAATAAATTACAAGTAATAATAAATCACAAATGTTTGTTTTCATGAAAGCATAATAGGGGCACTTACATACATACCACATAATTCTTATGTGTTTTCACATCTAACACCTAAACATTTGTATTTACATCCACTTTAAGGCATCAACATCACTACCGTTTTAAAGTGAAATACCCGATTTTATACATAGGTTTATGACACCAAGGTGTGTCTGTGTCTTGCATTTTAGACTATCATCACAACTCTGTTCCGCAAACCGCTTTCCTGTTTTTTTTTTTTAATAAATTTGGTAATTGTAAGTTGCTGTGTTATTGTATGTTATTCAGGTGTTATTGTGTTCTGTGAATATTCCCGATGTTATAATAACAACATACATCAATAACACTTAAATAACACACAATAACACCTAAATAACACGCAATAACACCGTAACAACACGAGAGGAATATTATTTTGTGTTACCGGACAAATTTTATTTTATTTTTCTGTCAACGCCACGTTGCATGATTTTATTGGACTCCACACGTAACTTTACGTGTGCGGTCCTGATGCAATATTTTCTCAACTTTTGGATAGCAGGAACCCCTAGAAGCATTTTAAACAATGACTCATTGTTTACAACCATAGCGAGCACATGTGAATTTACATATATACCGCCCAATTCCTATGTTTTTACATATCAAACACCTGAATCTTGTTATACCACCCAAATCTACTGTCACACAAAAAATATCACTATTTTAACTATTAGAAAGTGAAATGTATCTTTTTCATGCATGAGTAAGGTGACATATACGAAAAAACTGAAGTTTAGGTGTTAGATATGTAAATACATAAGAATTGAGTGGCATGTATGCAACATCCAAAAAAATAAACTATCAGATGTAACATTCATTAGTGCCTGCTAACTTTACATGACATTAGAAACTAAATCATGAAAAGAAATAAGGGGCATTTACATACATAGCACACCATTCTAATGTATTTACATCTCTCGCACCTAAACTTTCAAATTTACACATATAACACTCCAATCTTTAATATCATATAAGAGATTGCATTAATATCATTACAACAACAATAACTATTTACTACTATATAAATATTATGACACGTGTCCTATATATTTATAGTAAGATTTTACAAGTCTTAATTATTATAATATAATATTCATTATTGAGAATATTTTATTTATTATATTTCCATTATGAATCTCTTATATTACCAATATATAAACATGTTCTTATAAACGTATAGTTCAATAACGCTCACTATGATTATAACTCTCTATCCAAACCTTTCTATCCACCAACTCTTATTTCATTTCCTCCATATTCTTTATTTTTGCCTATGTAATTATGAATCAAAATATCAATTTGGGATAATTTGGGATCAAATTTTTAATAAATACAATTTACTTTACATTTTTTTTTTAAATTTTATACTCAAAATAAATTGGCATGTTTTTTAAAACACTTAAAATATTTTATAAAGATTTTAAACTTCAATCAAATAAATAAACATATTTTATTTGAAATGAAAATATAAATAGAATAAAAAATAAAACCCACCTAAAAAGGCACCTAAAGTAGGGCTGTTACCACCCGATATTGGTAAATATAGAAGAATTGAGTTATACATTTATTATTGGGCATTTACATACGATACCACCGATTTCTATATATTTACATTTCTAAAATCTAAACTTTGCTTTTTTTTTTGAGTTATACCACCCAAAATATTCATCTCTCATAAAAAATGCCAGTTAGGTTATCAATCAATTTGAGTGGTCTAACTCAAAAAAAATAACCTGAATTTGAGGGTTGAGGTTTAATGTTACATATCAATTAATTTGAAATTTAATATTTACATATCAAACAATTGGCGTGTGCCGCTTTTGGTTATTAGCTTATCACCATTGCTCTCTTTAATGTAATGTGTGAAATTTTATGTACGTACACGTACATTCAAGGACTGCAATATGGGGGGGGGCATTCCTTGTTTTTTTTTTTTTCGCACATCCTAACAGTGGATGTATGAACATACATAATATATTTTCGTGTGCATCCTAATAGGGCCATTTACACGCATCACCAAATTCCTATGTATTTACATATCTAAAGCCTCAAGTTTACTTTTTACATTTATACTACTCAAATCTTTCGCATCACATCGAAAGCACCACCATTTATTTTAATTTTTAATAGGTGAAATACACCTTCTCACGCATTGACAAGGTAGCATGTATGTGGAATGGAAATTTAGAAGTTAGATATGTAAATGTATGGGGATTGAGTGGTATGTACGTAAACTTCCATGTATAGTTTCGCATGAAGTCTACAAATGCAGAAGAATAAAGAAGAGTCTAAAGAGCGTACCTTGCAGAGATGACTGGTGCAGTGAAAAGAGAAGCTAAGCAAGAAGAAGATGGAGCAGTTGCAGTAACTGAAGCTGATATGAAAGGAAAGAAATTATCGCGGGTAAAGCTTCCTCGAACCGACTCATTTAATTTTTTTTTTTTAGCATCTGATATAAAACTCCTAATACAGTAAAAGCATAGCTACTGTATTAGGAGTTTTATATCAGATGCTAAAAAAAAAAAATTAAATGAGCACTCTTTCTCATTTATTTATCAAAATATTTAGAAAAAATTTACAAAAATAGAGACGTGCTGAATGAGAAAATTGTCAGAATGATCTATTGACTTTTTGTAGAGGGTCATTTTAGTCCCAAAGTCTTCAATTTAATCCCCAAACTCTTTTAACGAAGCCTAAAGGGACTATTTTAGCCCATTTTTTAAAAAGTAAAGCGTCAAAATAGACCTTAACTTTTTACATGGGGCAGTTTTAGTTATCGAGTTTATAGAAGTGTCGTATTAGTCTACAGGCCCTTTGAAATTGGGGTTTAAATAGTCCTCCCCATAGAGGACTATTAGAACTTAATTTGAAAGTAGCCGGGGACTATTTTTGGCACTTCTATGAACTCTGGGGTTAAAATGACCCGTACAAATAGTCGGGGATTATTTTGGCACTTTAGTCATATTGAAAGAG